TTAAAATTTGACTATCAGGTAGTTAAATTCTAGGTAAAAAAACTAAGGAGATAATTTAAGCACTGTTCGAATGAAAGGAAACATTTTATTGCATACTTTTTATATTTACTGGGTTTTCGGCTTTTAATTTCGATTAAAAAGTCCTCAAGAAAGTTAACTTTGAAAAGAAATGAATCTCAGTTTGCTTAAATACTTTTATCAGACAATGCATTCTTCCTGGTGTAATCCATGGTGACAAATGTTTTTAAAATAACGAAACTGACAAGAGAAATTTATCACAGGCATCTGGTAACTTAAAGAAATTAAGTGTTTAAGAACAACAAAAAAATAATATTCTGTTAAATTTGCTAAAATATTCTCCAATGAAATCATGTCTAATATCCAATGCACTTGTGCTTAGTCCGATATTTTTATGTCCATAAAAAAAAAAAACTAAAAAACGAGAATGAAAACAAGGCACTCAAACTTCCTTAAAATAGATGTTTCCGAGCCAGTCTATAGTTTTTTAATATATAACTGTTTTTTTCCAGTGTATTTAAGCAACTTTCCAATTTTTGTATGATTCCGCGGGATAAACGATCCATTGCAGAAAATGACGTGTGATAACTAATGGATAGTTAAATAAATAGTCCCTGGGCCAAAAAAAAAAAAAAAAAAAAAAAATGAAGCTAAAAGATCACACTGGAATAGCATAAACCAATCAAATTAAACTTTTTACTCAGTTCCTCCTTTATTTTCTTTTTGCAAATTTCGAATTTTAAACAAAAAATGAAAAAACACCCTGTCGCGAAAAGTGTGTCTAAAAGCCTCGTATCTGAAAGAAAAATTTTTTTTAAATCAGTTGTTTTTCAGTTTTATTTTTTTTCCATATTTTTAGCACGTGTTTTTTTCAAAAGATCTTAAAGAAAGTCAAAATTCGATCTCGGGCATCTTGTAAAAATTTCAAATCGAAAGAAAAAGGATGGCTGCAAGATATTGAAAAAATTCTGTCAAGTGGTATGAAATCACATTTTATTTTAAAAAACATTTAGTGTATGGGTTGCAATCTGGTGTTTTTTATGAGGCCTTAAATCGAGAATAGATCCTTCAAATTTTATTTTTACCGAAACATTTATTTTTTTTTTATACGGCCTTATATTTCGTCTTTTCTTATTTCCATCTTCACACTATCAAAAAATTAACAATAACGCCCTTTTTATTGGCACTAAAATACAATGAAAAAAAAAAAGAACCATAAATGGTGACGTTGGGACATATTTTTGTGTGTGAATGATGAATTGGGATGTTTTTGTTTTTTTTTTTCTCAAAGTGGTTTTTTTTTTAAATCCCGTTTATCGTATTGAAATACCTAAATTTAAAATTTCAACTTTAATTGAATCATAATTGTGGATTCATTAAGTTACAAAAGTAATTTGTTAATATCGAAAATGAAATTTAAAATTACTTTTGAATTTTATTCTTAATTCCTTTATCGATCGAATATGGTGGTAAACGAACCAATTTAACTAATTTTATCCGTAAATAACCTATTTACGGATAATTTTATGCTATTGTGATGTAGTGGTTTTTAATTGGATGTAAAACGAAAGATTAATAAAAGATGGTGCCTAGTACGGTGTTTAGAAACAATATATTTTCTAAAACTTGTTATCGAGTTCGAACATTATTACAAAACATTTTAGTCGTATGACATTCTGACCAAAATAAGTTTACCGTTTTTGTTATCTGTTTAAAAAAAAAGTAATCGAATTTAACGTAGCCCGTGGAAAATAGAAAAAAAATATTACATATGTAAAACCCGTATAAGTTAGGGACTTGATGCGAAGAACGCATGCATTATTTCAACCGGAAATTTGATTTAGGGTTTGTTTTTTTTTTTTCACTATGAACCTTTAAAAGATCAATCTTTAAAAATAACCTGTTCCTTGAAATATTGGGAGAGTCTCTTAAGTTAGGTACCTCCACGAGATCGCTAAAAAAAAGAGCATAGCATGATGAAAAAAGACGCTAAACTTGACGAAAACAAAATTTTATCGTCTAAATGTTTGTTATTATTAAGAGGAAAGGTCAAAGTATTTTTGGGGTATTTTTTCCATTTTTTAATCGTTCCTAGCACGTCCGAAATTTTCGTTAAAAATCTAGTTTTTTTTGAGTCAGCAAAATTGACCATTTTTTTTCCATTTAAAAAAATGGAAATCTGACTTTGAAATTTTTTAAATATCAATTATCATTTTTTCAAAACTTATTTTAAGAAAATCAGAAATTATAATGTTTATTTAAAATATTTTGAACCAAACTTAACTTAGCTTTTGTGCCAAAAAAGATGTAATTTGAAAATAAAACAAAGCAGGTCATAAACTTTCGCGTCTCTTGACATGTGATGAATGATATATTTACGAATTCCATGAGGCTAATTTGTTCTACGGAAGGAGAAAAGTGAAATAATTTACATTTACGTGAACAAATTATTTACCCCGTTATTTTTAACGAAAACTTTCAGCGGTCTAATTTTTTTTTTTTTTTTTGTACTTAGCTTTCACCTTTACGTTTATGATGCTTTATGGGAAATATATTCTAAAGAAATTAAAATAAAACTGTTAAGAGTGACATTAAATTTCATATTTCTTAAGAAAGGTATCTAATTAATTTATAGGTACCTTTCTTATGAAATTTTATCAGAATTGTACATAAAATACTATAATTTTATGTACATTTATTACATTCTACTGTTATTTGTATTTGCATTCATTTTATTATTAATTTTGATATTTCATTTATGGAAAAATGTCGTAACTGAGATTAATATAAAAAATAAGATCATATAAATTTCATAAGATGATACTGATACTTGTAGGTACCCTTCTCAGTTGAAATTGAAAAATCAAATTAACTTCTCCACACGTGTTTTCAAAAAAGTAAAGGCCTTAACAGCGGAGAACAATGCTTAACTCAAATAACGCAACTTAATTATATTCTGGTTGGTCTTCCGTATTTTATAATTACAGCCTGATTATAAGCACAAAATTACATTTCTTAATTACTGGGGATCTTCTGATTAGTCAAAATGATACAATTTACAACGCGCTAAAAAAAGATCTATCTCATAAGGACACTTATGAAAGCCGATGTTGGCTTTTAACTAATTTTATAATATTTTAACAACTTAAATGTAAAATCTATTATAATTAATGAAATAACAAATAATTGTATTAAAATTCATTTTTCATCGAAAAATTTTTTTGCTTTCAGAAAATATTGTCCATATTTAAAAACAACTAAAAGCAAATAAAAGCATTTGAAATTAAATAATATATTTGTTTTATTGAGTTTTGTATGTTACAATTCAGAGCTGATTTTCAGGTATTGCGTATCCAATTAAAAACAAAAAAAAAAACATGATTTGCATTCCTCAAAGCCCTGTGCTTTTTAATTATTGTAATCACTAAAACCGATGCGATCGAATTTCTAGCGTTTTCATAAAATTTGGGGGGGGGTAATAAATTTAAAAAAAAATATTTCTACCATGACTTTGTGATCATCTGTGAATAGTTCTGAAAGTTTCATTAACATCCGATAATTATTTCTATTTTTTGCAACGATTTTTCAAATTAATGTGTGTCATACCAAAAAACGTGCTAAAAATTGTCTATGTTATTTACTAGTTCCGCTGATACAAATAGAAACAAGGTTTTTTTAATCAAAATTTAGAATGTTCTAAAAAGAAGGAAAATTTTTTAAAATAATTAAAAAAAAACTTTGGTCTTTCCTCTTAATAATAACATAAGCATTTAGACAATAAAATTTTGTTTTCGGCAAGGTTGGCGTCTTTTTCATCAAGCTATGCTCTTTTTTTAGCGATTTCGTGGAGGTACCTATATTAACTATAGAATAGGTGTGTTCCACTATAACAGCTATTCATTTTTTTTTCTTGTTACTATTAAATATCAAGCCATGTGGCTTTTGCTACTTGGTGCAGTTCTTTCTGGTTCTGTAAAACCAGTTATATAGTTTCGAAGCAGAATTGTCCTAGCTAACACCCACATTTATTCGAAGCCATTTTTAACAATCGATTTGAGAAAGCGGTTTGGTGGCACCCAGTGAGGAACGAACTCAATACTCAGTAATAATGGTCAACCCGTATAGGCACACTAGCCTTTTTTCTTACTAAAGTTCACAATATACAAGGTTCAAAAGTTGCTCAATTTAGAGGGTTATTAAAACGGTTACAGTAAGGATATGCGATAAAGATGATTGAAGTTGTCGTGAAAGCATCCTCCAGGGATTCTGTTCCACAAAATATCCATCCGAGTGGAACTTGCTCTTGACTAATGGAATACGAAGAAAGAGAGAACGATTCGCTTTAATGCACGCAGCCTGGTGGGTTTTATCTGGTAGGGATAGATTTAGAGAAACTAGAGTGTGTAACCTATTTTTACTTTTTCAAGGGAAAGTAACGCGAGGCTTTCAATGTTTCGTCTGTGCTGAGACTTGATGTAAGGTATACAAGTTATCAGCCACATGGCCGCGTAGACGTTTTTGGAATATCAAGACCAAAAAGTGAAAACTGGGAGGCTCCAGTTCTCCCTGGTAACGTCTCATAATATAAAGTATATCGTGTAATTTAAACATTCGGTGTAAAGCTCTGTTTAACTCAATATACTTACATCAGCTTTTTACGGAGGAAACAGTTAATGGTGATTTCTTGTATGACTTAAATGAATCTGTTCGTTAACTAATCTAGAAAGCAAGTATTTCTGCCTTCTAATAAATGTGACGTGACTTGAAATCATTCGAATTTGGTCAGAGCCAATTAGTTACAATTCACTTGGTATGATTAGAGAATGTGGATAATAACGCACGAAATCGTTATACATGCATATTTTGCTTTTACGAAATTTCCTCAGGAAATTGGTGTATATCAGAAAATATTAACACTTGATTTCGGTGGCAATTTCATACACAGACCTCGATACAGAGAGGCCAGCTACATTATGCAGTAACTAATGTCCTTGAAGTGTTAGATGATAAGGAAGACGGTCTGTTGGAAAAAAAAAATAAACGGACAAAAGACCGGGCGGTGGGGGTTGACAAAACGGACAAAAGCGAGACCGGGCGGGTGGGGGGGTTGACAAACGGACAAAAGCGAGACCGGGCAGAAAAAGGGGGTTGACAAAGGGGGGAAAAAAATAAAAGACCGGGCGGGTGGGGGGTGGGGACAAACGGAAAAAAAGCGAGACGAGAGGCCCAGGGGTGGGGGGGGGACAAACGGACAAAAGCGAGACCGGGCCCAGGGGGGTGGGGGACAAACGGACAAAAAGCAAAAAAAAAAAACACCAAGCGAGAGGGGTGGGGGGACAAACGGACAAAAAGCGAGACCGGGCCCAGGGGGTGGGGACAAACGGACAAAAGCGAAAAAGGGTGGGGGACAAACGGACAAAAGCGAGACCGGGCCCAGGGGGGTGGCGGACAAACAGGGGTGGGGGACAAAAAGCGACTTGTCCAGGGGTTGGCGGACAATTTTTTAGCGAGGGGGGCGTGGGGACAAACGAACAAAAAGCGACAAACGAAAAAAGGGCGGGCGGGGGACAAACGAACAAAAAGGGAGATCGGGCGGGCGGGGGACAAACGAGGAAAAGGAGACAGGACGATGAGAAGACGAATTCAGTAAAGTCTTTTAATTATACCTAATGCACTCTCCTGCACTAATTCTGTTTTAAACGGTCTGTTCACTCGAACCCGATTCCATAATATTTACTCAAACGTCATCGTTGAAATTACTGAGGATATATTTTAAGAAGCTAAGTATTCCAATTCTATCAAGCTATGCATTCTCATCAGCCAAACGGATACTTCGACCTTTTGCATGTCGTTCGATAACTGTAGATGCTGACGTGAAGAGCCACAAATATTTGCGATATTCTGCAACAGCCAATACATACCTTTTCAAACAGATAAAAACGTTACCGCCGATGGAGACCTGATGATCTTATGTTTCCAGAGCAGGGCCTGAAGTTGCTGAGAGCAGAATTAAGACAATGGTCTTTTTTTACCAACCAAAGCGCATTCAGGTCGAGAATAAGTCTAACCTATTAATGCCCCCCTTTTTTTTTTTTTACTAAATTTCAACCTATATAATACAAACTTCGAGAGCAATCCTAGACTGGTAAAAATCTCTATACTGATAATTTAGCTGTGTGTTATGAATGTCTGTTAAACAAAAAATGTGGATATAAAGTGAGGGATTAATTCTATATTACAATAATTATATAAACTGATACCTCAATTTGTGGCCATGATTTTTTCTATAAATTTATATTTCAAAGAATGTAAATAAATCTGAAGGGCATGCTTTTACATAAGCAAATCAGTATTTGATTGATTGACTGGTTCAGTTTTTTTACAGCTTATCAACCTTTTGCACGTTACGTAAAACCAGAAAATATTTTTAGATTGTAAGATTTTGGGGAGGATATTTAGTGATACAAGTCTTAAACACACACACACACACACACATATATATATATATATATATAGTGAGATAGAAGCTGTAGATTATTACCTCTCCCAAGGATATTTGCGCGTATATTAACATAACGAACCCAGCTGGAATTAGAACTCCGTTCTCAGATTAACAATTCCGAGCCATTATTCAAGCTTAAGGCAGCGGATATTCTCAAGCGGTCACCCATATTTACTGACCAGACGTGACGTTGCTTAACTTCGGTGATCGTACGGGAATCGGTTTTCAAATTAAATATGGCCGTAAGCTCACATTTGGGAGACAGAGTGGAAGATATACTCAAATCCCCGGAAACAGTAAAACGTTTAATAGCAGTGAAGTCTTGAACTAGATGAACTATTCATTAAAATATTTAAGTCAGAATCCATTATTATTATAGAATTTATTTTACATAAAACACGTTTAAGCTCACCGTCCAATTTCCGAAACGTTAGACTCGGATAGGTTAAAGACGAGATATTTTCCAGATGTGAGAAGCGAGCAGACAGAATTAATATCGTGTCTACAAATCTAAGTCGGAACAACAGCACGAACCAGAATTGGAACTCGTTTAGCTGAGAATTGTTATGGCATACGATTAGGGTCTATGTATATGCATATAACTGGACGTTCAGTTTTCTTTTTGGTATGTAAATGATATCTTAACGAAATACTGACTCCTGTTTCTCGGCGAATAGCGCAATTGTTTTAGATAACTAATTACGAAAGTAGAATAAATATATCTGGAACGAAAAAAATATTGGAGAAAAACTCTTGTTATTTTAGAGACAAAATAGAAATGCAAAAAAAATATGTGCAGAGTAACATGAGCATAATGATGTTTATATATGGATTGCCTTCGATTTAGAGATGAAAAAGAATGAATGCATTGGAGGGGCGTGTTTGCTAGAAATATCACCTTTTCTTTAGGCAGTGAGACAGTACCAAAAACATTTCTTTAATCTATGCCCGAGCGTTTCAATGTAAACAGTATAGGAACAGTTATTTACTTATGTTTATTATTGTATACTTTGGTATTCGGGACAGATTGCTTATCATAGTTGTAAATCTCATATTCCAGCTGTTGTTGTCCTGGCTCTTCTGTGAATTGTTACTTTCCTACTGGCTAACATTTTCGGGATTTCGAATCAAAAACTTTATTCAAGTTACAGGATTAAATTGTTCTCATTGCGCCTTCAATACTATTAGCAGTTATTACTGACCGATTTCACACCTATTTGTCGTTTGTTCTTTTGTCTCACTGAATCAGATCGTATAAATTTTCAGCACTACCAAGACTAGCTATTGAAATTTTAACTGCGATGGAACCAGACATGTTTTAACTAAGATGACGACCTCCGACATTATAGTACCCTAAATAATATCGGTGTGCTATTCCAAACTGCAACGCGTATAATGCCTGAAAATATCAGAACATACGGTAATCTATGAGACCGCACTGATAGGCCTAACAATGAAAAACAATAGAGAGACCGCTAATAAAGACTGCCAAATAAGTCTTTAACAATAGCAATAGTAGTAACAGTTGCAATAATCATCAGCCGACAGTATAGGTTTAAAACTCCAACTTTGCTAGAGTAAATTGTCTTTCTGGATCAAAACATTGGTTCAGGATTTTCAGCACTAAATTAAGAACTAGACATTAGCAGAAAAAGTACCACGGTTTTCTCCCGTAGATTAAAGGGCTCATTTCAGAATTCTTTATAGGTTACCCGATCAATATACACCTGAAGAAGGCCGAAGGGTACAAGCAGCCGAATCTTTGTGATAATAACAAAGATGGAGACAATATTCCAAATAGAAATAGTGCAAAAAAATACAAATATCTTTAACAAAAACAATTAGAAAGCCAGATGAGTAAGGATAATTCCTCCTCGTAACGAAATAAACAAGTATCAGATTAAGTTAGTGCTTTGAAAAAAACTGACAAAAAAATAATGTGGTCGGGAACCTGTTATCGTTCGTCACATCTCAAAGGAAAAAAAAAATCTGTGCTCAAGGACAAAAATAAACAAAACAAACAGTGGAAGGAGAAAATATCAAGAGAGAAACAGTTGTATAAAACACGGATTATATTTACACCCAGCAACCATTCTTCGGTTCCAAGATGTAAACTGTTTAAACATAATAAAAATGGCTTCCAAATTGTTTATATTCTTTCTACGCAGCTCCCCACCCGCCAGCCTGTAAACAGAAGGAAAGATTGCTGGGACTAAATGTAATCTGTTTGTTGTTTATACGATCAATTCTGATTGATTTTTTTCCCACCCCCTCACTTCATCTGCTTTTAGTCGTTACGCACATTTATTTATTGTTCTCCATTGCTATGTGAATACTGACAAGCGTTAACCACTTAACACTTAGATTTTTTTTGTTTTGTTTTTGTTATATTTTTCAATTCACCATTTTACGGTGAGTAATATATATTTTTCTTTGCTTATCAATGCTCTTCTTTTCACTTTGTTTTAATACTTGCTATCGTCGAAATTTTTATCAAAATGGTATCTAGCAAATACTTTCATTTCAATTACCAATTGTAGGGCAAAACGGGAAATAAATATAGAGGAAGAATTTATTGTTTTATTAAAAATATGTTTATATCTACATTGTTCATGTTGTTTTCATCTTTATTGCCATATTTATTGAATATGTCAACAAAGATGAAGAAAGTCCGGATAATGTAAATAATTACAATACCTCATGTAAAAAAATATAGACATATGTATACCTTTTATGTCATTTCGGAAATTATATTCTATGCTTATTTTCAGCCAAATATGACCGCGTTTGCATGCATGCACACACATATATATATATATATATATATATATATATATATAAAATGGATTAAATCCGGCATTTTTATATTCAATTTATTTCATTCAAACGTTATTTTGATGGATGCACATTCGAGTATATGGTCTGTTTTTTTGGGGGGTTTTTTGTTATATAAAAAGTATTTATCCAACTACATCTATGACAAATGTTAAACTTAGCAAAAGTATTAACGTTTTATGATTTAAGCATGCACACAAATACACATTTCTATTTTTTGATCCAATGAAGCTTTGCAAGGGTGAAACGTAATAAAATTCAAATATTTTTCAGTTCATCATTCAGAGTTGGGATTATATATATATATATATATATATATATATATATATATATATATATGTGTGTGTGTGTGTGTGTGTGTTAGTTATAGAATATATAAGTTATATTTAAACTGATTTCATACCGAAAAGTGCTTCTTGAATTTAAGAGATAAGAATAAACATTTCGGCCATTAACTTCGTCAGGAAAAAAAATCATTGTCAAAATTTATTACCAATTTTTTCCTAACAGGAACAACGAAGAATAGTCTGATATAAATTCTGGTGCGGATGGACGACAACAACACCAGAACCTTTATCACATTTAAAACAAGTTTACATCAATATGATGTAGTCCGCTTTGCACAACAACACTAAATTGTATAAAACTGGTCCGGTTAACTCATTAAGGTATAGATGAAACTGCAAGGACTCAGAGGTAGCTTTTGGATTTGGTTGAACGTAATTTTCTGTCCAAATCTGTTTGAGAGAGTTATATCAGTTGTTTCGCAATGACCTCGTATGTATGTGTTACCCACAGTTCAGAAGGTTGGAGTGCCTCTGAGACAAATCTTGTATATGATTGCAACTGCGCAGCATTAATTGTCTGCATGGTTGGCTGAAATTTTGGAAACGGTTTTATTACTTTATTCGACGAACTGCATTCACGATTATTAAAGCGATTCAGGAATTAGATATAGATCGTGCCTCTCGGTTTATGGCGTCTTTTATTTTTAGTTTATTTACTTTCGGAAACTATTGTCATTTGCGCTGATGTCCAATATCGTGGTCATCTCTGCGCCCCAAGTTTTCACCCAAAATATTTTAAAGGAAAAAGATGTTAATTTCTACTGAGGGTGTTGAATTTAGTTTCAGCAATGTACAGATATACATTCAGAGGGCGTTGCGATGGGGGAAAACTTTGGGTCCAGTTCTTTTCGTGGTATTTTATGAAGATCGGCTTTTCGAAAATGTTCACAGATCCTCCTTCTATTATTGGTCTGTCAAGAATGTTTGTTTTGTGATGAGCAGGAGGTAGTCGATTTCCTTGTCAACATGAGCAGTTGCAGGCTACTTTAAGATTTACTATGGAGAAGGAGAATGATTGTGCGCCACTATTTCTGGATTTTCTTGTTCAAAGATATATTAAGGTGTTGCTTAGAAGTTTTCAGCATATGCCAACACTTACTGCTTTGTATACTGATTGGGAATCTTACGTACCAAGTAGAAGAAAGATTAATATGATTAATACACCGGCACGTCGTGCGTTAACGATTTGCTTCCTGGAAGGTTGAAAGAATTAAGATAAGCATTATCCAAGATAA